TAGTCATTTAGTCATGTCCGACTCTTTGTGAACCCATGGACCAGATCATGCCAGGCCCTTCTGTCAGAGTTGGGTCAAACTCATGTTGGTAGATTCGATGACACTGTCCAACCACCTCATCCTCTGTCGTCCCCTTCTCCTCTTTCCTTCACACTTTCCTAACATCAGGGTCTTCTCCAAGGAGTATTCTTATGAGATGGCCAAAGTATTGGAGCCTCAGCTTCAGGATCTGTCCTTCCAGTGAGCACTCAAGGTTGATTTCCTTCAGAATGGATAGGTTTGTTCTCTTTGCTGTCCAGGGGACTCTGAAGAGCCTCCTCCAGCACCACAATTTAAACGCATCAATTCTTCCACGGTCAGCTTTCTTTATGGTCCAGCTCTCACTTCCATACATCACTACAGGAAAAACCATAGCTTTGACTATTCTGACTCTTGTTGGCAAGGCGATGTCTCTGCTTTTTAAGATGCTGTTGAGGTTTGTCATTGCTTTCCTCCTAAGAAGCAGGTGTCTTTTAATTTCATGGCTGCTGTCCCCATCTTCAGTGATCATTAAGCCCAAGAAAGTAAAATCTGTCAGGTACCCTGATTCCCCACACACCCCATGGTTTCTACATGGATTAGTGTGATGGGCAGAAAAGGGAGACAGGAGGCATACGGGATGCAGGGAGATGAGGGATGAAAGGAATGGGGGAGGGGGCACACGTTACCTCTCAGCCTACCGTGGCCACTGTTCCCGCTGCATTTCTCGCTCTTCCGTGTGAGCTCGGCAAGGGCAGCAGGACGACCCGTCCCTCTTCGCCTCTGACGGGGATGGAAGCAGATAAGCGGCAAGGGAGAGCAGCAGTGCCACAAAAATCTTCAGAATAGGAAGGAAGGAGGAAAAGTACAGGCAGCCACCCGGACCAATTACAAAGCCGCTCCCGACTGCACAGCTCTCTCCCCCTCCTCCTTTTACCAGGAAACTGCCAAGAACGGAGGAGAAACAACAAGGGATCGGAAGCTAAGACTCTATGGTAGTTGTTACTCTTTCCCCTCCCTTCCCAGGAAGTGGGTAAATTCTTTGCGAGGCGTATTAGCAATTCCACCCACAGTACCTGGAGGTAATGAGGACAGTGGCGCTGCAGTGACCATCCCCATTATCCCCAGGATTTTCATTTTTACTCCATTTGGGGTAATTTCCCCCTGTTCTCCGACCACTGATCTAGACACTATACTCCTATTGATCCAACCAAGAATTGCATTGGCTTTCTTAGCAGCCGCATCACACTGCTGACTCATTTTCAGGTTGTGATCTACCAAGACTCCTAGATCCCTTTCACAGGTACTGTTGTCTAGCCAGGTGTCTTCCATCCTATATCTCTGCAGTTCGTTTTTTCTGCCTAGGTGTAGGACCTTACATTTCTCCCTGCTGAAAGTCATTTTGTTAGTTTTGGCCCAGGACACTAATCTGTCAATGTCATTTTGAATTTTAATCCTGTCCTCTGGGGAATCAGCAACCCCTGTGAGTTTGGTATCATCTGCAAATTTAATCAACATACTCTATTCCTTCATCCAAATCATTGATAAAGATGTTGAATAATCTGGGACCCAGAACAGAACCCTGGGGCACCTCACTAGTCACCTCTTTCCAGGACGAAGGGGAGCCATTTGTGATCACCCTTTGGGTTCGGCAGTCAACCAAATACAAACAAATCCATCTAACAGTAGCACTATCTAACAGCACCACATTTTACTAGCTTCTTTGCAAGAATATTGTGAGGAACCTTGTCGAAGGCCTTACTGAAATCAAGATATGCTACAGCCACATTGTTCCTTACATCTACCAGGGCTGTGGCTCTATCAAAAAAGAGAGATCAAATTAGTCTGGCATGACTTGTTTTTGAGAAACCTGTGTTGACTTCTAGTAATTATAGCATTGCTTTCTAAGTAATTACAAACTGTCTGCTTAATGATCTTCTCTAGAATCTTTCCAGGAATTGATCTCAGACTGATGGGGTGATAATTATTTTGGTCTTCCTTCCCCCTCTTTTGAAAATAGGGACAACATTTGCCCTCCTCCAATTTGTGGGTACTTCCCCTGTTCTCCAATAATTCTCAAAGATCATTGCCAATGGTTCTGATATTACTTCTGCCAGTTCTTTTAAAATCCTTGGATGTAATTTGTCTGGCCCAGGAGACTTAAATTAATCCAAGGTAGCCAGGTAATTCTGCACTACTTCTCTACCTATGCAGGCAAAGTTACCATATTTTTCCATGTATAAGACAATACTTTTGTGTAAAGTCTTTAGACTAAAAATTGAGGGTTGTCTTATACACAGAAGTAAGCTGAGGAGAGAACAAAATGGCCCACACTTTCACTCTGCAAAGAAGCTTTCTTCAGTCATGAGGCTTAGGTGCCTCCAATCATGAGTCTTAGCTTCCTACAGTCAGCAGACTTAGCTTCCTTCAATCATGAGCCTTATGTAACTTGTGTCAGCTGAACAAACCGATTGCAACAGTGCTCAGATGCAACAGGGGCTCCCAATAGCTGAGTGTTCTGAGTCCAGAGACTGAATAAAGTTAAAGTGTGATGCATAATATGACAATATTGGTACAGTGCTACCTCGTTAGACGATGACCTCGCAAAACGACAAATCTGCATGACAATGAGGTTTTGCGATCACTATAGTGATTCGCGAAACAATGATTCCGATGGGCGATTTTTGCTTGACGAAGATTTGGTCCATGCCTCACGGACCGTTTTTTCGCAAGATGATGATTTTTACAGCTGATCGGCGGCTTCGCAAAATGGCTTCACTATGTTTTCGGGACCGATGCTTTGCAGGACAGGCATTTTTACAGCTGATCGGCGCTTCGCAAAATGGCTGCCCTATGGGTTATCTTCGCAAAACGACGACGATTTTTCCCCATTGGAACACATTAAACAGGTTTCAATGCATTCCAATGGGGAAACGGTTTCCGCACGATGATGATTTCACTAAATAGTGATTTTCACGGAACGAATTATCGTCATGTGGGGCACCACTATGTAAATGTTACCCAGTTACTAAATAAAAATGTGTTCTGTTTAATGTTTAAAATATTGATTTGTTTGGGTTAGAAAAGTGGGGGGGATCTTATACACTTTCTTTGATACCCCTAGAAACCATTCCAGCAGGGCTATTTATTGTTATGTGCTGTCAAGTTGCCTCTGATTTATGGTATGAATGAGTGATCTCTGGAATGTTCTATCACCAGCAGCCCTGCTCAGGTCTTGTAAACTCTCATGGGGTCAATCTCATGTTTGGTCTTATTGTTTTTCTGCTGCCTTCAACTTTGCCCAACATTATTGACTTTTCTAGCAAATCTTGCCTTTTCATGAAGTGTCCAAAGTATGACAACCTCAGTTTTTTCATTTTGGTCTCCAGGCTTGATTTGCTCTAGCATCTACTTGTTCATCTTTTTTGCAGTCCAGAAACTCTTCTCCAGCAAAGCATTTCAAATTAATCAGTTTTCCTTTTTTCTTTCCTTTTTGATGTTAGCTACCTTCAAAGTTGTGAGTGGTATCTTTATATGTTGTATTTTTCTGTGTATATGACCCCCAATGTATAAGACGATCCCCAATTTTGACCCTTGCTGGAGGTGGAGGAGCAGTCAATGGGCAGCTGCGAGGGGTGGCCCAGCTTGGCTGCCTCCTCCTGCTCCTCCTGCTGCTGCCGCCGCCACCTGATCACCTCTTACAGTGCTGGGGCTCACCTCCAGCTCATGTTGCCACCTTGTCCCCTGCCCAAAGGGAGCCCATGAGTGGTGCTGGAGGAGGCAATCAGGAGGTGAAGGCAGAGGAGCAGTCATGCTGGGCCATCCCTCGTGGCTGCCCATTGACAGCTGAGCGCAGATGCTTCTTTGCCTCCATTTCCTTCCGTGTATAAAACGACCCTCAATTTTCCCCTCTAATGATTTTAGGAAAAAGTGTCATTTTATACACAGAAAGAGTAATTTATGCAGAACTACAATCTAATTTTACCTGCTCATCTTAATCCAGTGCTTAAAAGGACTCTTTTTTTTGAAGCAAAGCAAAGCAAACTAAGCATGCTGCTTATACACTGCCCCATAGCTCTTAAAGCTGTCTCTCTGGGTGGTTTACAATTTAATTATGCAGGTTACATATTGCCCCTCTCTGCAACCTAGGTTTTATGACCTTGGAAGGATGAAAGGTTGAGTCAACCTTGAGCCAACTACCTGAGCCCAGAATTGAACTCAGGTTGTGACCAGTGCCTTCACTGCTGTACTTCAATTTAACCACTGTGTCATGAGGAAGAATGGTTTTCTCAGTTCCGCAGGACCAAACTGTATTTGCACTCCTTTTTTGGAGATGAGCTTGCTAGTTCTCACTCATCGGTGTGAGTGCATTAGACATAACAGCAAAGAAAATAGGTTGCGTTCTAATGTTTATTCTTTGTGCAGTCTTTTATGGATCCACAAGAGCAAACCTCTTCCTCTTTCAGGCTTTTGCTGTTAACTGTTTCATGCCACTGTGTTGTATGAAATGTATAAACTGAAAGAAGATGAGCTGGAGGAGGTATGCTATAAGAGGGTGTTGCACAACGGAAAGGGATAGCCCCTACAATCAGTTGCATCATATGCATAGAAGACTACTTGGTGAACAAACATTGCTTAACACAACCTGGTTTGATTTTGGTTTTTTAATGAATGTGGCAGCTCTTATAGGCTGGCAGTCTCTTTGAGTGCACCAGAATTATCTCACTCATAAAGCACTATTGAATGGTAAGGTGCCATTCTTACATGACCTTATTGTCCATGGTGGGAGTAGGATTGAATCATGTTTTTGTTAAAAAATGAGAAAAATAATTGTTTTGTTGCATGAGTTTTTTATTTCCATCTGGCTTTTTAATAATGGACTGTGGATGGAAGAATGTGCTCAAAATGTTTACAAACTGTTGCCCTCTGCATGTGTGAGAGAAACCCTTTTGCTTTGTTAAATTGTTTAACTCTACTTTTAGGTGGAGGATGAAACAGTTCTCCATAACATTCCTTATATGGGAGATGAAGTACTTGACCAGGATGGAACATTTATTGAAGAACTAATAAAAAACTATGATGGAAAGGTGCATGGAGATAGAGGTGAGTTATGATGTGTCTATTTGTAAGTTTTTTGTTACAGGCGTAATCATGACTGATGATATTTCTGCAACATAACTGTTGGACAGAAACATATATTCCCACGTTTTGTAATTGTACCTTCATGTTCTAATTGACTTCAAATAATTGTAAGGTAAAGGTTCTCCTTGACAATTTGTCCAGTCGTGTCCGACTCTAGGGGGCGGTGCTCATCCCTTTTTCCAAGCCATAGAACCAATGTTTGTCCATGATTGCAGGGAGGGAGACAGCTGGGGAAGGAGGCAGCAGCGTTTTCTCCTGGTTGCCTCCTTATTTTATTTTTAACCCAGTCTTTTAAACCTTTTAATCTTTTTATATATGGCTATAAATAGCTTTTATCATTTTAGTTTTAGATAGCTTTTAACATCTTTGGTTTTAGACAGTTGTTAAGTCTTTTAGTTTTTAAAATATTTGAACCTGCTCTTTTGGAAGAAGAAAAGGAGGGAGTAGCTGGAGACTCTATTCTGTGGATACAAATAACCCGGTTCTTATCAGCAGCCTCATTAACTGTTTATGCCTTTGGAGATAAAGGAGCAATAATATTAGGAATACTGCCACGAAAATATATATTTCTGGCCTTGGAAAGACAGAAACCCGACTACTGGATTATTGGACTTATCCAAACTACAGTGGGAACAAGAAAAAGGAGCTACTTCTCTGTGAGTAACAGAACAACGCGGTTAAACTGAGAGAACTTGGGGGTTGTAGACTGCTACCAATTTCTGTGGATATTTACATTCTACATTTTTCACAAAATGGAAATACTTGATCTTACCCTGTCTCCTCCAGTGTTGAGACAGATACAACGTGGCACTCCAATATCAATTACACCTGTCTCGGACCTGAGACCCAGCAGGACAGGTGGAAGCAATCAACTTTCTAAACCATCACAGGCCCAGGTATGTGGCCACAGTATTTCCAAGCCTTCTACTCCTCCTGGGAACTTTAACACGTATAATGCCAAACATTGTGTTAAAGTCTACCCTGTTGCCCCGAGGAAATTGAAGCAAACCAAGATAACTGACTTTGTTAGTTCACTGAAACCCTTTACAGTCAACATAGAGAATACTGTTGCTCCTCATATCGATTTATCTGACAGCCTCTTGACAAACTGTCAGTTACTGGAAAGTAGCCAGTTAATAGGCAGCTTGCTAAACAGTACAGTGAATGTAGATTTCGGCAGGTTGAGACTGTCAGACTTTGCTTCGGATCTGGTATTGGATTCCAATGGTTTGTTCTCGCCAGACGACTCCGGGACCCTTAGAGAGCAGAACTTGAACTGTATAAACGCTGAGATGCCAGAAACTAAAGGCACTACACTAGCAACAGGGAAACATGACTCTTCTCAATCCTGTAAATTAGTCACCTTGGACTGTGATAAAGGAACTCCACCAAAGGATCCAGGTAGCACTAGAATGCATTTATTTTTATTTTTATTTATTTATTTATTTATTTATTTATTTATTTATTTATTTATTTATTTATTTATTTATTTATTTATTTATTTATTTATTTATATCCCACCTATCTAGTCATTTCGACCACTCTAGGCGGCTTCTTAGCAGAAATTAGAGACACATTAAAGGAAATAAATCAGTCTGTGGCCACTATAGCAGATCATCTAATGGAAAATAAGATGCAACTTGCAAAAAATGCAGTAGACCAGTTGAGCCAGAGTTCATACACGGTGTGTGTCTGATAAGATGAACTATTACAATCTGTTCCCAAAAACTATTGACAGAATTGACAAGCTTTCACTAGAAGAGTTACTTCTATGTGTAAGTTCTCAGACAGAGGCTCAGGGAAATCTTATTACTCCTGTGCCACCTAAAGCAGACTCTCTAAAACCTTTGTGCAGTAGACCAGTTGAGCCAGAGTTCATACACGGTGTGTGTCTGATAAGATGAACTATTACAATCTGTTCCCAAAAACTATTGACAGAATTGACAAGCTTTCACTAGAAGAGTTACTTCTATGTGTAAGTTCTCAGACAGAGGCTCAGGGAAATCTTATTACTCCTGTGCCACCTAAAGCAGACTCTCTAAAACCTTTGTCTGCAGCGGTCTCCTCAAGTGCAATACACTATTCTTCAGGTAAGGATCCTGCCAAGATTGGCAGAAAGGCATCTCCCCCTCACTCAGGAAAGGCCAAGCCCAAACCTGTGAAGACAAAGGAGGCTCGGAACGAACATCCAAAAAAATGAAGAGTGAATTATAAATCTTTATTTAAACTAATAGAATCAGCAGAGTGCACCGCAAAAGGGAAGGAACCTGGCATCAATATCCAGCATGCTGAAACACAAGCTAAAGACACCCAGAGAGAGAAACCTAACTCCAGGAGGCCTCTCAAGAATAGCGGCATTGACCAATTTAAGGACACCATAACTTCGGATTTAATCTACTCCTCCAAGCAGAGGGCTCAACCCTTCAAACAGAGCTCACAACAGCTACACCCACAGACAAAAGAATATTTCATCCACGAACCTACCAAGTGTGGATCCAGACTTGGCTGTTGGATACCCAATTCCATTCATTATAAGAAATAGGGGCTTGAATCCAAGATTTAAAAAGAAAAGAAGCAGATGGAATGACAAGACCTTACGGGGAGCTAACACCTATGGACTTTCTAAACAGTCATTTGGCCAAGAATATAACTATTCCCACAAGGACTGACATGATGACAGGAACTATTCTTTGCAGGTGAAGAACCCAGTGGGCCTAGAGCTTGTAGGCGATGGAGAGAAACCCTGTGATGCCAAGCATACCATGACCAATGTCTCAGAAAATGAAGTCAGTATGCAAACTTATTTTAATTCAGTTAGGTCATCTTCTCCCTTTCATTTAGTATCCTGATGCTTCTATAATAGTCGCTGGGGATTGCAATGCCAGGATAGGTACAAATGATGAGGCACTTTCTGCACGGTTCAATGTGACCTTCCTAGAACCTATTCTTCATCCAAATTTTAATCACAGGCAATTTAAAGTTTGTGGCTGTAATTATGCCGGTCTACGCTTGATGTATATGAGCAATAATTCAGGTTTATCCCTTTTAAACGGGTGCACAATCGGTGATAGACCTGGTGAATTTACCTTTACCTCTCTAGCAGGTGCTTCCACAATAGATTATGTTTTGGTTTTCAGGGACTTGATAGATCGAATACATGATTTTAATGTAGTACGTATATCGTGCAGAAAGCGACGATCTACCTTTGGTTTTAAAGATCTATTTTAATAATCATAGGCTGGCAAAGAGGCAGTCCCGAAACAAGCAAAACCAGGGAGCTGGACAGGGGACAGATTGGATTTGTCTCCAGTGTGGAAGGGATTGTCACTCTCGAATTGGCCTTCTCAGCCACACAAGACACTGTTCCAAGACCTCCATACAGAGCACGATACCATAGTCTCTCGAGACTGAAGGATGCCTACACACTAACAATTATAATGTGTTTGCGGACTTTGTTTCTATAACTCCCATTGCAGCCACTACAAGAGGGGCCCGTATTAAGTGGTCAGAAGAATTGGATGTTTCTATGAGACAGCTGCTGTTTTCAGAGCCTTATTTATATTTCAGCAATTTAATTACTTCTCTAAGTTCAGTGGAACCAGTCTTAGAGGCCTATAAACATATGGTACAATCTTTGCAAACTCATCTAACATGTAAAAAGCTAGGCAAACCGATTACTGGTCTTCTACATACAAAGCCCTGGTTTGACTTGGAGTGCAAAACAGCTAAAAATGAGTTATTGGTCAATTATAGGACCTACAGAGAACACAACTTGGCTAGAATTCCAACAGACTGGTTTATGCTTAAGAAGAAATATAAGGCTCTGGTAAAAAGAAAAAAGCTTCAAGCACAGAAGGAAACCTGGCAATGTTTGATAACTGCTTCCAATTCGAAGGACTCAGCTTCCTTTTGGAAGATAGTAACAAAGGGAACGCTTAATCATACTCCCAAACAAGATTTCTATATATTGCCTAGTATATGGGAAGAACATTTCCGAAGTATTTACACAGTCCATTCAGCTAGAACTTTAACTTCTCAGAATGATCTTGATCATATACCTGAATGGCCCCCAATTGCTACTAGGGAAATCTTAATGCTAATTAAGCAACTTAAACCAGGCAAGGCTCCTGGAACTGATTATATTCCACCTGACCTTATAATGTCTAAGTCGGACTGGTGGGCTCCAGTACTTGCCTCTTTATTCACCTGGATTGACAAAACAGCATGTTTTCCTGAGGATTGGGGCCTAGCCATCGTAGTCCCAATTTACAAAAGAGGAAATAGAGGGGATCCTGCTAACTATAGACCAATAAACTTATTAAACACTATTAGTAAAATATATGCAAGGCATTTATTGAGTAAATTACAAGATTGGCTACTTGAAGATAATATACTTGCAGAGGAACAAGCTGGATTTAGGCTGGGAAGATCCACTAAAGACCAGGGTCTTACTCTGTACCACCTGGCATCTAAATACTCTGCCCTTAAAGGCGGTGCTTTATATGCAGCCTTCATAGACTTTAAATCTGATTTTTGATCTCATACCAAGGGAATGCTTGTGGTCTAAATTTGAGACCACAAGTATCGACAAACGGCTCCTCCTGCTTTCACTTCATGAAAATACACATTTACGGGTTCTGTGTAACTCCGCGGGGATCTTATCCAACCAAGTCCCTGTGCTTAATGGAGTGAGACAAGGATGCATACTAGCCCCCACCTTTTTTAACTTCTATATCAATGGCTTAGTTGGAAATTTAAGTAACCCCAGTTTTCACCAACCCAAACTTGCCTCTCGCCCAATTTCAACTCTACTTTATGCTGATGATATCGTTTTATTGTCAACTACGTGCGTAGGATTTAGAAGACTTCTAAGATCCTTCTCCACCTACTGTAATGAAGAACAACTAACAATTAACTATGCTAAAACCCAAGATTATGGTGGTGAGTAGAAGGAAAATTAAGGAAAAATGGTCTCTAAATGGACACCCTGTAGAGCAAGTAGCATGCTATAAATACCTTGGCATAGTTTTTCATTCTTCAGGATCCTGGCTTACTCGTGTAAACCACGCAGCAATGAATGCCCAGAAAAATACTGTGGCAATAACAAGATGTTTTCATACTGTTGGGGGTAAACATGTACCATCGGCAATACACGTTTTTAAGGCCAGGACTATTTCACAAATGCTTTATGGTTCTCAACTATTCACTTACACTAATCTACGACCTCTGGAGATTGTTCAGACCAAATTTGCGAGAGCCATTCTTGGAGTTCCACCTTGTACTTCCAATGTGGCTCTTCGCTTAGAGGTTGGGTTAATATCCATTAAAGCACAGGCCAAAGTCCTTATGCTGAAATACTGGTTTAAACTGATTTTTTCATCAGAAGGCTTGGCCCCACTGATCCTACTAGATTCCTTTCAGTCGAAGAAGCATATAACAGAAGAGATATCGAAAATTGGCTTTTCTCCCAATTTTCTTACTTATAGCAATGGGTCTTACAGATGCCATTAAAGCGGTGAAGTTAAGGGTATGGGACATTGAACTACAGGACCATGTTGGCCAGTTAGGGAAATATAACTTCCTTAAGAAATCTGCTTTTGTCACCTCCTCCTATTTAGCCAGCACTATGTCATCTAAAGTCAGAAGCTAACTAGGCTTAATGTACTACCTTCTAAGCTTCTGGAGGGAAGATTTCAAGGTTTCCCTGCATCAGATTGTCTCTGCCCTTGTAATAGTGATAAAGTTGAATGAGTTGGTCATGTTCTTTTCTGTACTTGTTATCGGGAGCTTTTATCACCTATTATCTGTAAATCTCCTGGGAGATCAGAGGAGGATTATGTGCAGTGGCTACTCTCTGACAATACCCCTTATATTACAAGACAAGTGGCCAAATTCTGTGCTGCAGCAATGGTTATTCGTAAACAGATGTTTGGGTAGGTGATTTTAGATGGACAATATAACGGTTTTAATATAACACTGCCTCAGGTTTTACCTATATTAAGGATATATTATGTTATTAATTGGAAATAAGGGGTTGTTTTATCATGTTTTAATGGAATTTTATTACTGTATTTTTCACTCCATACGATGCACTCCCCCCCCAAATAGAGGGGGAGAAAGTATGTGTGTCTTATGGAGTAAAATACAGTAAAAAAAGGGTTCAGCCACCACCACCCAGAAGCCTCCCACTGCCATGCTGGGAGGCCTCTGAACTGGCACCAGAGACTGCTTGCTGTTTGGACCTCACCATTCTGCACTGCTAGCTTTCCAGGATCTGCTTCCTGCAGCCCACCTGGAAAACCAGCAAGGCCAACAGGCCTATGGCAGCAGACAGTGAAAACAGCCAAGGACCAAAAGGGAAAGGGTGATTCTAGAAAGACCAGGTGAAACCATAAACACAGTCCCCCACTTAGGCAGTTGATTTTCCCACATTTGGAGAAATCACAGGTGTCAGTACATCCAAAGTGCAATAGATGAGCCTGTAACGGACAGACATAACATCACATGTCCGTCACAGCTGGGCAATGAGTCATCAGCCTATGGTGTGACGGAGGGTGGAACTTAAGGGGAGGAGCTAGTATAAGAAGGGGGGTGAAGAGTGTGTGAGGAGAGATTGGAGATGAGAGTCTGAGCTGAGA